CCTCCTGCCAAATGTATGACCATATTAGAGACACATATTTCCCTCAGATTACAGCGATCCACAAAGAATTCGAAAACAAACCCAATTTTGATAAACTCCCTTATCTACTGGGTGAAAAACCACAGTGTGCCATCACAGCTGCAAGATTTGTGACCTGTTGCCACAAGAAAAGGACAACCAGTGAAGAACAAACACCATTGTAAATACAACCCATATTTATGTTTATTTATTTTCCCATTTGTGCTTTAACTATTTGCACATTGTTACAAACACTGTATATATACATAATATGACATTTGAAATGTCTTTATTCTTTTGAAACTTCTGAGTGTAATGTTACTGGTTAATATTTATTGTTATTTCACTTTGTTACTATCTACTTCACTTGCTTTGGCAATGTTAACACACGGTTTCCCATGCCAATAAAGCCCTTAAAGTGAATTGAATTGAATTGAATTGAATTGAAATTGAAATTGAGAGAGAGAGAGAGAGAGAGAGGACTGCTACACCCAGACAACAGATATCATGAATCTATTAAATGTAGTCTGCTATAGGTGGGAATGCTTGTATGTGTGTGTAAACCTTTCATAAGATGGTAGAAGTCATAGAACGGATTGCAGAGGAGGGAGGGAGAGATGGAGGATGGAATGGGTCTGGCGTGGTCACAACGTGATAAAACATGCTGAAACCCCCAACAAACACACACACAGTCAGTCAGTCATTTCTTCATATTGTTTATCCTCTACAGCTTACATTTCTACAGTCTGTTCATTTCCTCTAACAACAATAACTTCAAACCCCCTCAATCTCTTATGAATAAATATGAGGGATTTCATTTTCTGAATCACTTACCCAGAACAGTACAAATGTCCATCAGCGTTTCTTATTTTGTCGACCACAACAAGAAACTTTAATGTTGTGGTCCTTGGAAATCCAGAAGATTGATGATCCTACCTATAGTATCTGTGTCTCTATAGTCTCTCTAGCTAGTTTGAGATTTTCAGGAAAGATTGCAGCATTAACCTAAACAGTACAGGATTAAACCAGGTGACATTCAGCCAAAGACAATGATGAGGGAGGGACAGGTTACAGGGAACACAACCTATGACATCATACAGAACAAACTGCTTCCTGCTTCTTATGTTGCCCTACATTCTGCTGCATGACATGTTGGAACTCATTGTGTCATTAGGCTCTGGACACATACACACGTACACACACACACACACGGGCATACACACACACACACACACACACAGGCCATATCTGTCAGAAAGAGGAGTGTTAGGGATGAGTTTTTCAGTCTGTCTCTGTGTCTGTAGCTTTGCCAACCCACCAGGCCCAGAACAAAGAGACCACTGAGGAGGCCAGACACAGAGGGCATTGTGGGTCCAGCAGTCACAGTCAGTCCGCCCTGTCATCGCCGTCGCCCAGTGACACTGACAGACAGGGACCTGACAGGTGCTGCCCCAAGATGGAACCCAAACCCTGTCTGTCTGTCTGTCTGTCTGTCACTCACAATAAAACCTATCGGACATGATCATTGCTTCCCGTGAAATATGATTCAACAAAATAAGATAGTTCCATAGCCAATCAAACATCAGTTAGAAAACCCCTCCTGTTTCTACTGAGACCTGTGTTGTGTTCAACAGGGCACACCGTAGGAAACATTTTGCAACTAAAATCTGCGTCCTTATTGGACAAGTTCAGGTAGCCCCTGCTTGTTACACCATTTCAAAACGTTTCCTCCCTTTCTGAACACAGCCCCTGTTTATCTCTGTTAGTAACACAGTGTAGAATGATCAGCAGGAACGCAAGATATCCAGAGAGTAGTGGCCAGTCTGATTAGATTAGACTAATTCATGGATACTGTATCTCCTCTCCGCATCTCCCAATAAAGGAACCACTCTCCTCCCTCCTACCCTTCTCTGTGACCTTCACAAGATGTCCGCTCTTATCTCCAGTCTCACTGAAACAACGTATACAAAGTGAATTTTCCATTTTGATTGGATTCAAGGGTCTCCGTGATTAGCATTCTAAGGCTGGTGAAGGGATCTGAGGTCGTAACGTTCTAATTCAACAGTATTAAATTACTATTACAATAATCTCAGTGAAGTGGGACCTCTGCTGGGCAAAATGGTAAACTACGCTTAAAATGCAACAGCCAAGAGTTTGCGTAGTACATTTACATCATTTAGCAGACGCTCTTATCCAGAGCGATTTACAGTAGTGAGTGCATACATTTTAATACTTTTTTCATACTGGTCCCCCGTGGGAATCGAACCCACAACCCTGGCGCTGTAAGCCATGCTCTACCAACTGAGCTACACGGGACTACATAGGCCTTCACCCCTCTCTGACTGTGGTACTGAAAGGAAACCCAGAAGGAAATAGCCGACACGTGAGGTGATGTTTCAAGACTATAGAGCCTTCTAGCCACTGGCAGGTACTAGGTAGGGGGTGAAGATACTGTGTTGATGATCAAGCCATTTCAGCACTCTGTGATCAGCGGCCAATACTAAAACACAGAGAATCCTGTCTAGATTAGCCCACCCTCTGCTGAGCAGTGAGCACAATCCCTCTTTATTCCAACTCTCTAACAGTACACAGACATGGGTCATTCCTGCACCCTGTAACTCAACACTTTAACAAGGCAATTACAGCTAGTCTCACACAGACAGAGACCTGAGCACCTATCAGCATCTGTCCTTTCACAGGTATGCTAATAACCCAAACCTACAACGCCCAGCTAAGATGCTAATGAACTGAATTAGGCCTGGCATTAAGAGAATGAAACTGCATACCTTACAGTGGAGGTAGAAGCTATAACAATGGATGGATATTATGGAGCAAGACAGCAATAGAAGGGAAGGTTGATTGGTCAAAAGTACATGATACATACAGACAGTGAGGATGGTAGGCCTCTACCAGTGTAGGTTGCTGAGGGGAGGATGGCTCATAACAATGTCTGGAATGGAGTAAAGGGAATGGAATCAAACACAAGGAAACCATGTGTTTGGTGTATTTGAAACCGTTCCACTGATTCCGCTCCAGCCATTACCACGAGCCTGTCGTCCCCTATTAAGGTGCCACCAGCCTCCTGTGGCCTCCACTGTTTAAAGACAGGCTTGGTCAGATCACCACTTCCACCTAGCGGCTGTTTTCGCACACTGTGTTGTTTTTTAGAGAAAGAGATGGAGGGAGAGAAAGAGAGAAAGAGAGAGAGAAAGTTAACCTAGAGTGGAATGGTCTAGGTATAATCAGCTGATTCCGTATCAGCTGATTATACCTAGACCATTCCACTCTAGGTTAACTCTAGGAAGGAAGCATGTGACTTTCTTTTTTGTTATGTTACTGTATCATGCTGGTGACCTTCTATTCTAGCTATGTGACATCACAAGGAAACTCATCCCCTTCCTGTTTTTCTCCCTAAACCAGCTTCGTGACTCTAGCCCCGCCCTTCTACCTGTCTTCCTTTTATCCTGACAACACCATAGGTCAATCTCATATGAGATCACCACATCTCTGACTGCCACCCTGGACAGTCTCATACCTGCCTCTTATACCTCACATCTCTGTGTGCCTCTGCTCTGTAGCTACATATCTCTCTTTCTCTGTCTCTCTTTGTAATAGTCTACAGTCACCTCTACTACCTGCGGTCTCACTATGAGTGGTAATCTATGGACGGAGGAGCAGTTCAACTGTCCTGTGTGCCTGGACCTCCCCAATGAGCCAGTCACCATCCCGTGTGGCCACAGCTACTGCATGGGCTGCATCAAGGACTACTGGAGCAAGGACGACCCTCGCTCCCCCGGAGTCTACAGCTGCCCCCAGTGCCGCCAGATCTTCTGTCCCAAGCCCTCCTTATCCAGGAACACCATGCTGGCAGAGGCCGTGGAGCAGCTCCGCAAGGGGGCCCTCACCACCTCCGCCAGGGAGTCCATCCGGAGCGCCCACCGTGCCAACACCATGGGTAGAGCCAAGGGAGGTCCCCGTGGTGGTGCTGCCAGCCAGCTGCCAGCCATGGCCGTGCCCTGTGACACGTGCCACGGCGCTGGCGACCAGCGGGCTGCGGTGAAGTCTTGCCTGGTGTGTATGGCGTCCTACTGCGAGGCCCACCTGAAACCGCATCAGACGAAAGCGGCGTTGAAAAAGCATGAGCTGATCGCACCCACGGCCAAGCTGGCGCAGAAGATCTGTACCGAGCACAAGTACCTGCAGGAGTTCTACTGTCGCCAGTGCCAGATGTTTGTGTGCTGGCTGTGCACCAGTAACCAGCACAAGGACCATGAGACCACCTCCACCAAGGCAGAGCGCATGGAGAGACAGGTAAGCCCTCAGACACCACCATACCACATATCCTCCCACCAATGTGATCAACTGCCTGGCACAAGACTGCGTTATCCTGCTGAACCAAAGGCTAGGCATTAGCTCTGGGAGCTAATGCAAGTCTTCAGGTCTCAGGCAAGGTTACTCATGACACTTCCTTTACAACAAAACAACACCCAATCAGGTCCTGTGTGGCTCTGTGAGTAGAGCATGGCACTGCATGCAAAGCCAAAGTTCGATTCCCGCTTGGGCCACCCATATGGTATTCACACAAGACTGTAAGTCACTTTGGATGAAAGCGTTTACTAAATGGCATATATTATTATTATTATTATTATATTAATCAGACTCAACACCATGTACAGACTCACAAAGGAAAAAACATCTAAAAAATACAGTCTAATCAAAACATCCATACAGGTTGCTGGGCTGACTATGTCCCATCACAGCTGATCTGTCCACACCTAGAAACTGCCTCTCATTCAGCCTTTTCTGTGGTGAAGTGTGTGTGTGTGTGTGTGTGTGTGTGTGTCTGTGTGTGCACTGTAAGGTGGTGCCATATCTTAGGTGATTATGTAGTTGTCTTTGTGGGCCAGTGAGCATTCCAGACTGCATTCCAGTCCATTCAGGAGTCAGTTTAAGTGACTGTGACTGTGTATTGTATTTTGCAGAAAGAGCTGGCTGAGGTGCAGACAGAGAATCATCAGAGACTGAAAGAAAGAGAAGGAGAGCTGAAAGAGATGAAGAAGATGCTGGAGGCAACGAAGGTAAGGGCTTAGGACACACACACACACCACAACACACCAGTGTGTGTGTGTGTGTGTGTGTGTGTGTGTGTGTGTGTGCGTTTGTGTTCCTCAATGAGTACCTTTCTATGCACCTCCATACAGTACCTGTGTGTGTATGTGTGTATACCTGCGTTTGTGTCCCCAGCGCTCAGCAGACAGGGTACATGGTGACACAGAAATGGTGCTGTCGGAGCTCCAGCGCTCGGTGGAGAGGCTCCAGGAGCTGGTGGAGGGTGTGATGAACCAGGCTGGGCAGGAGAAAGTAAGCGAGGCCCAGGACGTGGTGGACAAGCTGGAGGCCGAGATCTCTGAGCTGAAGAGGAGAGACAAGGACATGAAGGAGGTGTTCCGCTGTGAAGACAACATCCACTTCCTAGAGGTAGGACGCTTTTCTGTTTCTGTGACCCTTTTATGAATTTTTGATCCAATTTGGCTGCATGCAGCTGGTTGATGGCCGTATTGGAAATGGCTGGGATGGGCCAATAGTTAATAAACAGCCCTAGTCATGCTTTTATCACAAAAGGGATCATTTCTTAAATGACTCCTCTCCTCTCCTCTCCTCTTTCTGATTTCCTTTCTCCATCTCTGCCCTCTTCCACCCCCATCCTCCTCTCCTCCTCCTCCTCCTCCTGTGCCCCCCCACCCTCCCTCCAGACCTGTGAGTCTCTGTGCAGCCCGTTTGAGTGTAATGATCTGCCGTGTGTGGTGGCCAATCCAGAGGCTACGTTTGAGCCTGTACGTGAAGCCATCCTGAACCTACGGGAGAGGGTGGAGGACATGTGCAACGTGGAACTGGGCAAGATCACCAAGACAGGTGTGTCAGAGTGGAGGACATGCATGCTATACACACACGCATACACACTATACACACACTATACACACACACACACACACATACTATACAAACACACACTATACACACACACACACATACTATACACACATAACACACAAACTATACACACACACACAGAAAAGGCACTACTAGCAGAGATCACCATTACCTCGTTCACTATAAACATCGTTATAAAGACAGAGTATTTTTTCCGCACTATGTTATAGACTGATATCAGTGGACCAGTACAATGTCAATGTGTTAATAAAATGTTATTTCTCATCCTTCTCTTCAGTGAATGATACAACACTGTTCACCTTAGGAGACAAAGGCGAGTTCTAGTCCAGAGGATGTCTCTAGCTCTGGTCCAGGGTGTTACGTGTGGCCTGTTGAAGAAGTTGAACTTCCTCTTCTTGAAGAAGGCTCAGCATAAGCAAGCCTGCTCGTAATGCCCTGGACCAGAGCAAGAAGCCATCGATTACCAATAAACATTTAAATCGGCGATTGACAGACTGTACTTACTCACTGCACTGTTTTTCCCCATCATAGCCAAAAAAAATGGCGGACAGAAGACGGGAGGGTTTATGAGTTGTGAGTAGTTTTCTCCGTTCTTTATGGGTAGCATGACTTGGTCTTTCATAATTCAGTGAGATTGTGAATTAATCTGAATTGGATATTTCAGTGAACAGCAAATAATGTGTCGAAAGGCAATATTTCATTTCCGCAGTGGAGATGCTTTATACTCAGTGTCTGTTCCTTTTACTGCTGGTCTATGACTTGTGTAGTTGAGTGCTTGGTCGTCATCATTCATTGTGCAGTTTGGATATGAAATACATAACCTGGAATAATTATGTATTTTTCCTGATGAAGGCCACTGATGAAGGCCAAAACGTCAAGCTTTTAATAATTGTTTAAATAGAACAATATGTTTTTAGCGGTGAGCGAGCGTTGCGAATTTTCCTTTTCAATGACTATTCCATTATTCCACAGTGTTTTCTGGTCTGGGATCCAAAACAACAACAACAAACAGCCGTCCTGCAGGTATGTACTCTAGCCACTGTTTCCTGTATCGGTTGTAACATGTGGTTTGTGATAGGTCATTGAATGACACATAATGATGTGTATGTTCGTCGTTGTGTTTCAGCTCCCACACCGACTGTCTCCGTGGCGGTTCGAGGTCCTAACTCACGTGGTAGGTTGATGTCATGTGGCTAGTTTCATCCCAAATCTCACTATGAGGATCAGGATCAAACATTACATCATGACATATTGTCTTCTAACTATTCTAGCTTTAATCATGTCTCCTGTAGGTGTAGGCCTGCTCTCTCAGGATGTTAGGAGCAGAGATGAACCACGAGGTGAGACGTCTGTGTGTGTGTTTGCGTGTGTGTGTGTGTTTGCATGCGTGCAAGGGGTTTAAACTCTCTTCTATCTCTTTCCTTTAGCTGACAGAGACCGGCCGAGGAGAGAGGAGAGAGAACCAGGTAGCACACACACACACACACAGAGAAAAGCCCAGATTTTCTTTGTGAACTGTCGTCACATAACTGGTTCCACAGGTTGGCCTGCCTCACAAGGGGAACATTTCCTTATCATCTGTGTATGGTCCTCCTTCCTTCTCCTCCATCAGTACTGTGTCAAATCATGAACCTCTTAAGAATAACTGCAGATATCAATTCCATGAATGTATCACCTGACCACCTCCCTAGGTGGGCATGACCAATACTACAAATCCAGTCATCATTAGAGTGTATGAAACCTATTCAACCGCCTCTCTTTTCCACTCATTCTCTATGCAATCATAAAGGCGTCCGCATACATACAGTGAGGGAAAAAAGTATTTGATCCCTGCTGATTTTGTACGTTTGCCCACTGACAAAGACATGATCAGTCTATTATTGTAATGGTAGGTTTATTTGAACAGTGAGAGACAGAATAACAACAAAAAAATCCAGAAAAACGCATGTCAAAAATGTTATCAATTGATTTGCATTTTAATGAGGGAAATAAGTATTTGACCCCTCTGCAAAACATGACTTAGTACTTGGTGGCAAAACCCGTTTGGCAATCACAGAGGTCAGACGTTTCTTGTAGTTGGCCACCAGGTTTGCACACATCTCAGGAAGGATTTTGTCCCACTCCTCTTTGCAGATCTTCTCCAAGTCATTAAGGTTTCGAGGCTGACGTTTGGCAACTCGAACCTTCAGCTCCCTCCACAGATTTTCTATGGGATTAAGGTCTGGAGACTGGCTAGGCCACTCCAGGACCTTAATGTCCTGCTTCTTGAGCCACTCCTTTGTTGCCCTGGCCGTGTGTTTTGGGTCATTGTCAATCTGGAATTCCCATCCACAACCCATTTTCAATGCCCTGGCTGAGGGAAGGTTCTCACCCAAGATTTGACGGTACATGGCCCCGTCCATCGTCCCTTTGATGCAGTGAAGTTGTCCTGTCCCCTTAGCAGAAAAACACCCCCAAAGCATAATGTTTCCACCTCCATGTTTGACGGTGGGGATGGTGTTCTTGGGGTCATAGGCAGCATTCCTCCTCCTCCAAACACGGCGAGTTGAGTTGATGCCAAAGAGCTCGATTTTGGTCTCATCTGACCACAACACTTTCACCCAGTTCTCCTCTGAATCATTCAGATGTTCATTGGCAAACTTCAGACGGGCCTGTATATATGCTTTCTTGAGCAGGGGGACCTTGCGGGCGCTGCAGGATTTCAGTCCTTCACAGCGTAGTGTGTTACCAATTGTTTTCTTGGTGACTATGGTCCCAGCTGCCTTGAGATCATTGACAAGATCCTCCCGTGTAGTTCTGGGCTGATTCCTCACCGTTCTCATGATCATTGCAACTCCACGAGGTGAGATCTTGCATGGAGCCCCAGGCCGAGGGAGATTGACAGTTCTTTTGTGTTTCTTCCATTTGCGAATAATCGCACCAACTGTTGTCACCTTCTCACCAAGCTGCTTGGCGATGGTCTTGTAGCCCATTCCAGCCTTGTGTAGGTCTACAATCTTGTCCCTGACATCCTTGGAGAGCTCTTTGGTCTTGGCCATGGTGGAGAGTTTGGAATCTGATTGATTGATTGCTTCTGTGGACAGGTGTCTTTTATACAGGTAACAAACTGAGATTAGGAGCACTCCCTTTAAGAGTGTGCTCCTAATCTCAGCTCGTTACCTGTATAAAAGACACCTGGGAGCCAGAAATCTTTCTGATTGAGAGGGGGTCAATTACTTATTTCCCTCATTAAAATGCAAATCAATTTATAACATTTTTGACATGCGTTTTTCTGGATTTTTTTGTTGTTATTCTGTCTCTCACTGTTCAAATAAACCTACCATTAAAATTATAGACTGATCATTTCTGGGCAGTGGGCAAACGTACAAAATCAGCAGGGGATCAAATACTTTTTTCCCTCACTGTAGGTTCGGTTTGCTCCTAGCAAAACTTGTCTAGGCGAAGTGAACGTCTGTGCTCACATACTCCCTAAAGACCTTCGCTTGAAAAATGAGGAAAAAGCGGCAATATTACTATTGTTTGTCCCTCTTGAAGCACCGTAGCAACCACATACCCAGTAATACTTCCTCAAAATAGTCTGAATTAATCTAAGATAAATCAAGAAATCTGTAATTAATGTGGAAATTTTTGCCAATGAGGTCTTAGTTGCACAATTTCACATCTAACTAAGATGTTTGGTGCAGTATTTCACAAGTGAAAAAATGTGCATGAAAACTAGTCGTCTCTCGTTGAACGACAAACACTTAATTGAAGAATCCCGTCCATAGTTCCCAATCTTACTAAGAGTAGTCCTGTTGACCAATCTCCGACAAAGGGGCGTAGACTTCGGCTACCGAACTTCAACTTGCATCTAGAAAAAATGTAGTGTATGCAAACAGCCAAGGAAACCCCTGCCGAACACCAAAATGAACCAAAACGTCACAAAAATGTGTCATAAACTGTTTAGACTGGGAAGCATACTGTATGCGTCGCAGTCGAAACAGTTTGTGCATATATTATGACTACATTTTGTGACGTTTTGGTTCATTTTGGTCTTCAGCAGTTTTTTGGGGCTGTTCGTGCACACCAAAAAATTTATTGAGGCAAGTCGATGTTCGGTAGCTGAAGTCCACGCCCCTTCGTCAGTGATTGGTCAACAGTATTACTGGACCAGGTACTGCTCCTAGTAGGAGTGGGAGCTATGGACGGGATTGTTTGTTGGCTAGTTTTAATGCAAATTTTTTCACTTGAGAAATACTGCACCAAACATTTTAGTTAGATGTAAAATTGCACGACTAGGACCTCCTCGGCAAAAACATCAACATTTATTACAGATTTCTTGATTTATCTTTATTATTCTATTTTGAGGAAGTGTTACTGGGTATGTTGTTGCTACGGTGGCTCAAGCGGGACAAAACAGTAATATTGAAGTTCTTCAAGCAAAGGTTGTTTCAACAGACCGAGTTCTGCTAGAAGCAAACTGAACCAATGTATGCGGACGCCTTTAGACTCACCAAGCCATGCTCACCCAGTAATACCTCTCGTCTCTCCACAGCCAGAGAGGCAACCCCCAGACCAAGCGGCAGATCTAATCCCACTCCGAGCCGGAGACAGCCAGCCAGAAATAGCCCTACCCAAAGTCGAAGAGAGACGCGCAGACGCAGCCCCAGCCCCAGCCCCACTCCAAGTCGTAGAGAGCCAGCCAGAACCAGCCCTACTCCAAGTCGTAGAGAGAAGCCAGAACCAGCCCTACTCCAAGTCGTAGAGAGCCAGCCAGAACCAGCCCTACTCCAAGTCATAGAGAGCCAGCCAGAACCAGCCCTACTCCAAGTCGTAGAGAGCCAGCCAGAACCAGCCCTACTCCAAGTCGTAGAGAGCCAGCCAGAACCAGCCCTACTCCAAGTCGTTAGAGAGCCAGCCAGAACCAGCCCTACTCCAAGTCGTAGAGAGCCAGCCAGAACCAGCCCTACTCCAAGTCGTAGAGAGCCAGCCAGAACCAGCCCTACTCCAAGTCGTAGAGAGCCAGCCAGAACCAGCCCTACTCCAAGTCGTAGAGAGCCAGCCAGAACCAGCCCTACTCCCAGCCGGAGAGAGCCAGCCAGAACCAGCCCTACTCCCAGCCGGAGAGAGACACCCAGACCAGAACCCACCCCCAGCCCTACCCCCCGTGCTGTTACCCAAGCCACCCCAGCCTCAGGAGCTTTCAGCCGGATGGGCTCCATAGCAAGTCTCTTCCGCTCCCATCGACGTGCCACACCGGCAGCAGGACCAGTCAACAACAACACTGGTGGAGTTAACCCATGTGAGTCCCTACCAGAGAGAATGATAGAGGCCTCTAGTGGCCAAAAGGCTGTATTAGCATGGGCAGCACCATTGAGGGCTTCCACCATTTTAACGTAGTCAACTGGGTGGGACTTCCAACTTCACTGGAGTCATGTACAACCGGGTCATCAGGACGGATCAGCCAATCGTGAAAATGGAGATTGCCTCAATGGCGCTGCCCATGCTGTCACAGACTCTTAAATGGCACAGATACAAGGATGAGTCCTCTATCTATCTCTATGGTCCCGACCCTCAACCCTTTAACCCCATCAGAGGTCATACACCCTGGTCTTACTAGCCTTTCACAAGTGTAGACACTGTATAATGTACCCTTGACCTTTAACCCCATCAGAGGTCATACACCCTGGTCTTACTAGCCTTTCTGTTTCGACAGGGGAGATGGGTGCTCTGACTGAATCCCAACCAGAAGTGAATACCAGCCTCTTCCTGGATCCGCCGACCCCTGACCCCATCATGAATCAGATGCCAGCTTTCCCTGCATGTGAGTCATCATTCATTCCTTTTCTTCATCCTCCAATTCTTCCTCTCTACATCTGAGGAAAACATATTGCCCTATACTTATGGTTACCCTTGTTGTGATCAGTGGTGTAAAGTACTTAAGTAAAAATACTTTAAAGTACTACTTTAGTAGTTTTTTGGGGTAGCTGTACATTACATTTACGTCATTTAGCAGACGCTCTTATCCAGAGCGACTTACAAATAGGTGCATTCACCTTATAGCCAGTGGGATAACCACTTTACAATGTTATTTTTTTTTTTTTGATCTGATCTGACGGACTCACTAAAAACATTTGCATCTTTTATAAATTATGTCTGAGTGTTGGAGTGGGCCCCTGGCTATCTGTAAATGTTTAAAACAAGAAATGGTACTGTCTGCTTGGCTTAATATAAGGAATTTGAAATGATTTATACTTTTAGTTTTGATACTTAAGTATATTTAGAACTAAATACTTTTAGAATACAAGTAGTATTTTACTGGGTGACTTTCACTTTTACTTGTATAACTTTCTATTAAGGTATCTACTGTATACTTTTACTCAAGCTGGGTACTTTTTCCACCACTGGTTGTGATCCTCTCCCCTCATGCTGCCTCTGTCTCCTGTAGTGAGGGAGATAGACATCTCCAGCATCCAGGCCCCAGAGCCCAGGAGCAGAGAGGAGTTCCTGCAGTGTGAGTATAGAACAGCTTAACATATATACAGATGCAGGCTGTTCCAGTTAGCTCCCTACCCTGTCTCCTTGGCCCTCACCCTTCCATGTTTGCAGATCTGAAGGGTCTGGGTAGGTATAAGCAGTGTAGCGTCCACCATTTTGATTCCAACTTTCAGATCTGGAAACTTCAGAAAGTTAGGGCCAAAGGGAAGGAAGAGGCTCATTATACAGCAAAAACAGCTGACTACCAAATCTGCAAAGACCTTATCCCCATACCATAACTATTCATCCATCCCTCCACTCTCCCTTCCCCCAGATGCCTGTACCCTGACCCTAGACATGAGGACAGCCCACCGGCGTCTGAGCCTGTCGGAGGGTAACACCAAGGCCACCCTACAGGGGGCAGGGCAGCCCTACCCAGACTGCCCCCAACGCTTCGACGGCTGGACCCAGGTGCTGTGCCAGGCCCCCCTGTCCGCCCAGCGCTGTTACTGGGAGGTGGATTGGCGGGGGAAGGGGTCATCCATGGGCGTAGCTTATGGAGCCCTGAGCAGGAAGGGGGCGGATGCCAGGGTGGGACTTGGCTACAACGCCCAATCATGGAGCCTGGAGCTGTCGGATACGTGTTGCACGGCAATGCATGCCAATGAGAAGAGGGATATCCCGGTGACGTACTCGCCGCGTCTGGGGTTGTTCCTGGACCTCACCGCAGGCACCCTGGCGTTCTATAGCGTGGCAGAGAGCATGGCGCACCTGCACACGTTCCGTGCTAACTTTACACAGCCGCTGTACGCGGCCTTCGGAGTGGGTAGTGGAGTTGGTGTTGGGTTGGACTTTGGTCTGGGTCAGTTCAGCCAGACATCCGACAGCATCAAGATCTGCCCCATGTGATGAGACCGACAACCTCTGTATAGATCCCCATCTGTTATCGCCGCTTTATATGAAATCGTTTAACTTTAATTGTTTGTTTCCTAAACATTTACAAAATAGCCCAAGTGCTGCACTTCTGACAAATAGTGTGTGTGTGTGTGTGTGTGTGTGCGTGCGTGCATGTGTGTGTGTGCGTGTGTGTGTGTGTGTGTGTACACTAGTCCATTAGTTATAAGACAAATATAAAACAGACAACCAAATCATTTTTCATTTCCTTTATTAAAACAAAAGCACCAAAATGATAATCTTGGGTGTTTTATGAAGCGTCGAGGAGAGGCGCGAGGTCTAAAACGAATAATGAACACTTCCAACTACACAGAGCCCATAAGAACCTCCACCATCACCCATCAGCTAGATTCAATAGAGCCAACAGTATGAGACATAGAACTATATTCAATAGAGCCAACAGTCTTCACCCCTCTCCTCCCACATAGCAGAAACCCTGGTATAAAACTGATGCTCTTTCCTCGTCGTTACATAGGTAATAGGTATTACAAAACACACACAAGCCAACACAAAGCATTTCACTGTATTTAAAAATGACAGGAGTTTTGGTTTGCACTGATATAGTTATAAAAACACGACAGCTTGGATTCCCTTTTCAATGGTTCATCACACAATGGAGTCACAAAAAAAATATCCAATTTCTACATGAAATGCTAAATAACTTATTTGATGCTATTACCTAGTCTTAATATTAATATTTGTCAGTAATATTTCCTAACTAGTGATATCCGTAAATCAGGTTAAAAAGTGCAGTTCATGATAAGTGGGATAGGTCAGTTGGACGGACGGACGAACGGCAAGAAAAGAGGTATAGCAGGGATGTCTGAGGGTCAAGTATGGGTCAAAGGGCACAGGGTCAAAGGGTCACACTAATCTAGCTAGCCTGAAATCCAGAACCTGTTTTGCTAGCATTCCACTCCATGTACTCCGTGTCATGCGAACACATGTGGAATGATAACACAGAATGGTACCCAGGCTAGAGTCTAGCCCCTCCCAACTAGACACTCCAGTAGATCTGACAGGAATAATAGTATGGGATTTGTTTGACCTTGACCTCTGATAGGCTAGCTGGAATTTCCCCATATTGCTTAGGCTCTACCGCATATACCTATCAAGTCCTTTCAGATTGAAAATAAATGCCTTTACAGGAGAAGGTACTAGTTGCCTTAGTCTCATAGCTGCTCAATATCACACAACACCATGTTGCCCTCTACTGGCCGCTGAGTGAATAGAATAACCTTTAAGACCACAACCACAGTAGTAGTGAACCATGTATTAGATGAGACTCGGAGCTAACCTGGATTAAAACATAGTACACCCACTTCTACCTAGGATGCTGATGGTTCCCTGTTTGGGACCAAACCTCTTGAACCAGGGCCATGTTGAGTAGGCAAACGTTGTGGAACGTTAGAAATGTCATGAATAGAGCTGACGTGATTCCTGATGTCGGAGGCATAGTTGTTCTGCATATATTTATACTGGAACATTCCACAATGGTGTGCCCCAATGAACGCAGACCTGAGCACGCCATGGGCCTGAGATAAGAGCCCAATCCCAAATCGACCCCTAAGCCCTATACACTTGTGGAGGTCTGTCAGGATTTGACAGGTGTAAGCAATTTGGTAATCCATCTACCTTGCCCTCTGATTGGCTAGGTGGAATTTCACCATATTGGTTATACCAATCAAGTCCTCTCAGATCTCCACAAGTGCATAGGGCCTAGGGATCGATTTGGGATGGAAGGTTACAAGGTTATTGACTGGAAACGGAGACCATAGTAGTCGCTGGAGAGGATTTTTAACAGCACAGGCCCAAACAGCCCCGCTGAGGAATAGTCCATCCCAGCTGCATCCTAGCCTGGTCCCAGATCAGTTTGTGCTGTAACATGACAAAGACCATAGGGGTCTGGCAAGACAGTACAAACAGATCTGGGACCAGGTTAAACCTACCCATCCCACTAAGCGTCTAATAAAATACACACGTCTTTAAACCAAAACACCCAAACAGAACTAAACAACTATTTTAAGGCGTTACAACCTCTTCCTTATGAGACCTGAGGAGGAGCAGCCTCGGACCTGTCAGTCAGACCACTACCCCACCCACCCCCAGAGGGCCAGGTGCATGCTGGGACCTGGAGGTAAAGAAGCGTGTCGTTTTCAGGACACGCCATGCATTTCAGACACTGGTTGTAGCCTATTGCAATGCACAGAGAGAGTTGCCCCTGACGACAGCAAAGCAAAAGGTTCACTGTATTGGTAGTAACACTGGGAAGGCTAGAATGTAGTTCCCTAGCGACGGGCTGGCAGTAGTAAGGTGCATGGGCGCCAGCCTGGTTCCTAAGAGAAGATAAGGGGTGTAGCGAGTCTAGCTAGCGTATATAACATGACAAACGGCTCTACTGCTTCAAACTACAGAACAACAAGCCCCTAGACAGTGAGGCTCTGGAGGCTCAAGCTTTCTCTTTACACTGCTCTTCTCTCTCCTTCCCTCATCTCTGACCTCCTTTATCGTCCTCTCCTTGACACCAAAGTCAAGTTCATTGTTTATACATACAGTGATCATTCTACCACTTCCCCTTTTACCTTCTTCTTCTCTTCTTCTTCCCTATCCCTCGAACATTCTCAAGCCCTCAACAACTTACTTATTTCCTCTTTTCATCTTCCCATCTTTTGAGCGTCCAGAGCCTCACAGATGAATAACTACTGTAGCAGGAGCAGAGCAGAAGAGAGCAGGGATAACATCTACCTACAGCACCCCCTAGAGGGCTGGAGAGGGAAGGCAGGCAAGGCTAGGAACAGCTAATAAAGCCCTTTTAAAATGGCACACACACACACACCGTGGCATTAATACAAGTTTCAATTTTTAACAATATTGTGCTTTTAAGAAGAATTCATAAAAAGGGGAGGGACTTTTCCCCCCACTTGTTGCCCTTTTCTCCGCCGAATATCAGTCTAAAAGAGGGGTGGAGAAGGAGAGAGGGTGCGGGCCCAAATTGTACTGTTCAGTCTTAGCTTCCCTCCAAACCCCGCCTCCCTGTAGTGTCATCACTTCTTCAGCGTTTAAGTGAAGGGGGTGGGGCGTGGGAAGTGGAGGCGGGCCTAGAGCGGACAGAGCGCTGCTCCTTCAGGTTGCCCCAGGGGGGCGGGGCGATGGCTAGGGAGGTGGGTGGTTGAGGTGAGGCCTGGCCCAGATGGTGGGAGGGACTTCCCCGCACCGCTCCAATCATAGCTGGGAGGCTCTGGTTCCGCCGCAGGCCGTCCAATAGGCTGCCTCCGCCCGTGGCCAGGAAGGTGGCCGAGTCCTGGCGCCCCAGGCCCTCCGACAACGGCTCCGTCCCCTGGAGTACCTTGACCAATCCCAGCCGGCGTAGCCTCTCGACTAAGTTTACGTTGATGGAGGTCGGGTTTAGCTTTGGATTTGATTCTCGGGGCGTGGCTAAGGCTGAGGCTATGTGAGGCGGGGTCGGGGCTGGGGAGGTTGGGGCGATGGGCGCGGCCAAACTTCAGCCCGTACACGTCCTGGAGGAAGAGCTCGGCCGGCCGCGACGCCAGGAAGTTGTCACAGGCGGCTGGCGCCGAGGCGCGGGACTCAAAGGGCACAGGCGAGGGGGCCGGCGAGTGGGACGGGGAGTTGGGGGGCGTGTTGGGGAGGAGATGCTGGGGGAGGGGGGCTTTAGGGTGTGAGGGAGGGGGGGCATCGGCGGTGGAGAGGGAAGCAGAGATGCCCTTCTCCAGGACCAGCTTGGCCAGGCCACAGGGGGCGGGGGGGCGGCGAGGGGGGAAGGAGTCCACCCCCAGGCTCAGCCTGCAGGGGGTCACCGGGGTGCTGGGGCCTGTCCGCATGGAGCTGGGGGTGTACTCGGAGACAGAAGACTGACAGTGGGAACTGAGAGAGAGAGACAATGTTAGCCCACATAGCCATGTCATATACACCACAGCACAAACACACAACACCAATCGCCTTCATAGTCATGAGTGTGTGTGTGTGTGTGTGTACCTGGAGGTGACCTGGGTGATGTCAGAGGGGTGCAGGATACGGCAGGTTGTGAAGGTGTAGGTGGAGAACGTTGAACTCTGACATTTCCCCGGGTTATGAACTGAAGAGACAAAACACACACGTCAACTTAGATCACAAACCAATAACTACCCTTTTCAGTTTCTTATCTTGGGAGAGAAATATTGACACATTTGTACAGCAATGATTTGTTTTGAGAAGTAAGGGCAAACAGCACCACTGGCCGCTCCAACACGTTGTTACGGTTGTTGTTGCTGAGCTGAGGAGCGTCAGGCAGCATGGTGAAACAATGCAGTACATATTGTGCTCTTCTATGGCGAGGGCCATTATGTCAGAGGGGCAAAACAGTGTCCGTTGTTGCAGTAACTTATTTGGCGTTGTAATATCGCGAACGGCTGTTTCACCATTAAGGATTCCAGCTTTAGCGTTAAACTTTTAATGTTAATATTTTTATTTTTGTACTTACCTGACGAGGATGTAGTAGTAGTGGTGGTGGTGAGACTGGTGACAGTCTGGCTCTGGGATTGGACAGGAGAAGTGGATGTTACAGTGACGGGCGGAGCCAAGAGGGCCGGGCTCCTAATGATGTCACAGGTGGCATTAGAGGTCATAGAGAGGTCAGAGGGGACCGCGATTAGAGGGAGCTGTGGAGAGCCTGGTACTGGTAGGAAAACGGGGGACACGGGAGACACCGGTGGCCCGTTCAACGGCAAAAGCTCCCTCCTCCTCTCCCTCTTCTCCTCCGGTGTTGACGAGCACTGCACCTTGAAGGTGATCCCTCCTTCCTCCTCCTCCTCCTCTTCCTCTCCCTTCTCCCAGGCGTCTGTCCCTTCCTTCCCTCTCTTTCCTGAATGAACGATTCAGGAAGAGTCCAAAACCTTTGTTAGTGAGACTGCTAAATTATCATTTTTAACCAATCGTTTACAAAAAACTACTTTCATAATAATAATAATAATACATAGTACTTATGTAGCACATTTCCAATACCCAGTCAGTCATTTGTGAAATGTACATAGTGAATAAAAGCACCTCTCATGTCATATTTCTGTTCTTCATCGCCTCCCTCTTCGTCTTCCTCCAGGTCGGTGAGGCGGTAGACGGCGTCGGTGAGAGCATCATGGGGGAGGGGCCGAAAGCCCTTGGTGACCACGCCCGGGTGGGGGTCCAGGATGGTGCCCAGGTGGGGCTTGGCCAGCTGCTGCCAGTGGTGCAGAGTCAGGGAGCCTAGAGGGGTCAGAGGTTAAAGGTTAAGGGGTCAGGCGTCAAATGCATTACTCACAGTCTAATATTCACATATGACAATTAGGAGTGTTACAGTTGACAGATATCATAATGTGACCAACTGGGTTCAAACTCTGGTCTCAGATAGCCTAGAGAGGTCAGAGGTTAGAGGTCAGGGATCAATGTGTTACATCACAACTAAACATCCTAATTACAAGAGTACCAGTATACAGATATGATAATATACATCACAGTAAGGTCATCGTCTGGTCAGGAATAACTCCTGGATAGACGTCATAGCTACTGGGTCAGGAATAACTCCTGGATAGACGTCATAGCTACTGGGTCAGGAATAACTCCTGGATAGACGTCATAGCTATTGGGTCAGGAATAACTCCTGGATAGACGTCATAGCTATTGGGTCAGGAATAACTCCTGGATAGACGTCATAGCTACTGGGTCAGGAATAACTCCTGGATAGACGTCATAGCTACTGGGTCAGGAATAACTCCTGGATAGACGTCATAGCTAACTGGGTCAGGAATAAACTCCTGGATAGGACGGCATAGCTATTTGGGTCAGAATAACTCACTCCTGGATAGACGTCATAGCTATTGGGTCAGGAATAACTCCTGGATAGATGTCATAGCTACTGGGTCAGGAATAACTCCTGGATAGACGTCATAGCTACTGGGTCAGGAATAACTCCTGGATAGATGTCATAGCTATTGGCTGCATTCCTGGACGCCTACATTCAGTAACCACATCTCTAAGGCTGCGTTTAGACAGGCAGCCCAATTCTGATCTTTTTCCCACCAATTGGTCTTTTGTCCAATCACATCAGATCTTTTCACATCAGATATTTTTCAGAGCTGATTGTTTAAAAGACCAAGTAGTGAAAACAAGATCATAATTGGGCTGCCTGTCTAAACGCAGCCTAACATACTGAAATCTGATGCCTGACTGCAATGTAGATGATGTGGCATTCAATCACTGGTTAATTTGTGCAGCGGGGCTGATATCAGACAGTCTGGAACTTGGCCATTATCATGACTACACTTAAAGCATGAACGTATCCTTACCCTCCATGGGCTTGACGATCTGCAGCTTCTCAGGGAGGAAGGTCTTAAAACAGCTGGACGAGACCGAGAACTCTGATAGGTTGGTGAAGGATGACATGACACTGCTCATTGGTGAGCTGTAGCCACTCCCCTCCACGTCCGACTCCACCCCCCCGGCCAGGGCCTCCAGCTTCTTGCTGCGCTCCGCCTGGAAGAACTGCCGCTCGCACAGGAAGTTCTGCCGCCGCAGGGAGAGGCGGTGCAGCGCCGACACAAGGTCATTTCCTCCCGGTGCGCCAGGCTTGCCGAGTGGGACCTCCTCCCTATTACAAAGACAGACACGCAACACAAACACATGCTTACCCAAAAGTGACTCGTTTCAGGAAACTAGGCATATGTCGTGCGTCACTACTTCACAGGAGAGGCATTTGAACGTAAACTTATTTTTATCTAAATGCACTTTTTTGGCAGAAATGCCTTCTGGAACATGCAAACTTTCATGTGCCTTAATAACAAACTTGTATGCCACCTGTAAATACGAATACAATTGTTAAATTACGAGCCTAGTTGGTTTAGCCACAGAAAAAGACAGCAACCTTCCCGCTAGCCATGATTGGCTGAGATAATGAGTTGGCTGGACATGCCGAGAGATGAGTTCAGATTGGTCTGCCATGTAGCACACTTCTGTCTATAACAGGGTTCGTCAACTAGCTAATAGTCGGCGGGCCAGAACATAATTAGTATATAATAACTACAAATAAAACATTTTTAACACATCCGATTAGTACATAATAAATTCTGTGACAATAACATAATCATTTCGATCTGATTACGCTCATAAAAATCACCATGTCTCTATTCAAATATTATTTGGTCTATTTCTCTGTGCGTTGATTGGTGGGAAAAACAGGTCTACGTAGCTTACTGTAGGTTACTCTACTTTATTTAACGTCGACATTCGTTCAGAACAATTAGCTTGATAGCGAGAGAAAATGTCGCTCTCAAAAAGTATCAAAAGAAAGGTGGATAATGAAAATCAAAGTTTCAGGGAATAATGTACAGAGAGATGCATTCATCTTACCATATTCACCCAATGCCAAGCCACTGTGTCTTATTTGCAATGAAAATGTCGCTGTTTGCAAAGAATTCAATCTCAGACGTCATTATGAATCTAAGCATGGACCTTTCAAAGTATCCTTCCCAGACAGAGGCCCGACACAGAAACATTGAAGCGTTAACTGCAAGCTACACACAGATTTTTTTGGCTGACACATTCTGTCACTTAAACGGGTTAAATCTGCAGTTACAAGAAAGAGGTAAAACAGTCGTGGATATGGTGGAAAACCTTAAGGCCTTTACTAGGAAGCTTGAGTTGTTGGATTTGGACTTTTGGTCATCTGGAAGGCTACTGCACTTCAGCACACTGAAGAAATGACAGGCAGAGGGACCAGGCCGCAGCATTGTCACAGAGGTGACGGAAGATTTCATCAAGCAGCTGAGGGACAACCTCTCCACCAGATTTGAGGACTACAGGATGCCCAAGGATATAATTGCGTTTGTCCGTGATCCTCTCACAGTCCGCCCCGCACACAATCTGATTGAATTCCAGACATAGACCCAAATCAGGGATGCGCTCAGGAGCGCCGAATCCTTGTGTGCGTTTTGGGTGGCATGCTCAGAGGAATAGGCTATCCCGATAAAGACATTCAGACAAAGACATAGCCTTTTTCTTTTTCTTTAAATTATTGTTTTATGTAGGATGCTACATTTTTGGCCAGTTGCGATTGTAAGTAGGCCTAATAAATAAATAAAATCCCACTTCTATTTGGCCACATAGTGTTATTGTGAAAGATGCTGTTAAGCCTCATAGCCTACCTCACCAGTTAAGTTATTTTATATAGGCCTAGGCTCGGAAGAAAGAGACTCCAATTAAATTGTAACTGACTTGCCTAGTTAAATAATGGTTTAAAAAAAAATTATTATTAAAAGTTGTTTGTAAAGTCAAATTAAAATGAAGATTATTGTTGAAATGAATTACTCGACTGGTGTAGGTTTTCTCCATCTGTTACTGTGCAACACTTGCATAACAAGTTAGCTATATTTTCAGCACCAGGTGCTGTTCACCTCCTATTGATTGCGCTGCGGTTGCAGCTTTACGTTTCAGAACCACAAAATGGTCCACTGTGTGCTTTATTAGTTGACTGCATTCTCTCTCCTCATGAATTAAGTTAAAATGTAACGTTGTATTATTTAGGTAGGGCAACTTCCTTCTTGGGACATTACATTTGGGAGTTTTTGCATCTCGGGGCCAAATAATATTGCTTTGAGGTTACAAGTTTATCAACTTTCAAAAAAGAATTACTATCCCATTGTTCCTCAACTGTAGTGTATGATATACAATTTTCTAGCGCAATTGGCCCAGCGTCGTCCAGGGTAGGGGAGGGAATGGCCGGCAGGGATGTAGCTCAGTTGATAGAGCATGGCGTTTGCAACGCCAGGGTTGTGGGTTCGATTCCCACAGGGGGTATGAAAAAAAAATAATGTAAGTCGCTCTGGATAAGAGCGTCTGCTAAATGACGTAAATGTAAATGTAAATGTCTAGCTCTGAGTCTCTACTTTTATCCAATGTAAAAAACACCATTTCAAATTTTGCTACATAAGACCGAATCGAGCCGGTCGGTCACAAATATACTCCTCTATAGGCTCTAAATTCACTGAAATATGTTTGAATTAAATCATATCAAATAATATGCTTTAAATTCTCTCAAGTAGTTGCCACTGACTCAATGATTCCACTACAGTCACTCAATACCACGTAATTTTAGACTGCATGTCTAACAAATCGGCTTCAACCAGGGTAACTCACTTGGCGCCGTCGTGTGATTGGTCGATCCCCTGGGCGGACTGGAAGGGCTGGGCCGTCATCACCAGGCAGCTGCCTATGCCCGAGCCGGGGATAGGGGGCGTGGCCATCGCCGCAGCTCTCTCTACCGACTCGTTGACCACACGTACTGTCTGGAACACCCTCTTCTGGGAAACTCTGGGGACGGGGAGAGAGGAGGAGAGGAGGAGAGGGAGGGAGAGAGGAGGGGAGGTAGAGGAGGGGAGGTAGAGGGAGGGAGGAGGGGAGGGAGAGAGGAGGGGAGGAGGGGAGGGAGAGGACCAGAGGAGGGGAGTTAGAGGACGGGAGCTTCTGCTTTGATTGCTGTTGCTCTTGTGTGTGTGTGTGTGTGTGTGTGTGTGTGTGTGTGTGTGTGTGTTTCATACTGACTTTTGGTCCTGGAAAGCCACCTCGTCCTCGACACTCAGCTCTCTCCTCATGGTGCCCTCAATCTCTGCTGCCAGGGAGTCCTGAGACACAGGAATACACTCATTAATAGGCACACACACACATATTCACACATTTATAGGCATTGACACACACACACACACTAGGGATGTGCATCTTACCCTTGAAAGATAATTCGATAGGTACCTAGATACATGGGCTCCGATACGATACAGGAACGATACGTTTTAGTTTGAAATGATTGGGTTTGATTAGAGAACGAATCGGTGCACTAACATTTGTTGCATAAACACATTTATTTTCCTTTCTAAATAAACATCTGCTGTTGATGGAGCTCATGAGCTGGGCCTCTCTGAGCTGGATCAGTCTGAGCTGACTTCTCGCTCTCTCTCTCTGTGTGTGTGTAAATGATGTATGTCTATGGTGTATGTACCATGTAGGCACCTGATCTGAGCCATAAAGGAGAGTAGGCATCTACCACCCCTACTACCACTATTTTACATTTACATTTTAGTCATTTAGCTGACGCTCTTATCCAGAGCAACTTACAGTTAGTGAGTGCACACATGACTTTTTTCATACTGGCCCCCCGTGGGAAACGAACCCACAACTGAGCTACATCCCTGCCGGCCATTCCCTCCCCTACCCTGGACGCCCCATGGGTCTCCTGGTCGCGGCCGGCTACGACAGAGCCTGGATTCGAACCAGGATCTCTAGTGGCACAGCTAGCACTGTGATGCAGTGCCTTAGACCACTGCGCCACTCGGGAGGTAGGTGGGCAATGTAGCCTGTTTTTTCTCCTCCCCACTTTGGGTCTGAAATCCCCATCACCCACTGATTAACTCAAAATTTTTGCAGATTAAGCTAGTAATGTATCAATATTTATTGTTTACAAATTAGCTATGACATAGCCAATGAATATATGGCACAACTTTGAATTTCACCCATTTGAACATTTTTATTGGGTGTTCTTCTCCCCTCGCTTCGGCCATGCAGTGCACCTCGCAAAAGTGATTGATTTCCTCGTTTTTAAATGATCAACTTTACCCTGATTATACACACTGATTGTTTAAAGCAAAACTGCCAAAACTATAGTAACAGGCCGCCTACCCTGCGCAGCATCGCATTGGTGGAAACCAAGACTGTTCTCAAGGCAGGCCTGCTTGTAGCTAGATATGTTCGAGTCGGGGACAATTTTAGCTAATTCTCCTAATTCCCTGCTACAAAAAGTAACTTCTGCTAGTCAAAACCGGCAGACCTGAGGTTTCCACTAATGCGATAAAGTCTACTGCCCAACTTCCACATAACATGATAATTTGGATAGCTCATGTGGGTGCTAGAAAGCAGGCCAGGTGATGCTAGGTATCAACAGCCAATCCAGTAGAGGTTGGAAACTATAGTGAGCTTAGATTGGTCAATAGCGCCATGATGTCGCGGAGTATTTGCAAAAAGTACTGCTTTCCCCATTTTTGGTCCCGCCCTGTTCACGCTTCTTCGAGCCATGCTCGCGTCACCCAACGGTCCCCCCACCCACTTCACTCCAACGGTCCCCCCACCCACTTCACTCCAACGGTCCCCCCACCCACTTCACTCCAACGGTCCCCCCACCCACTTCACTCCATAGAAAATTAATGGGGCTCCGTTGTTTCATCGCCCCCAGCGTGTTTTACGTGGAAATGCATGTTACCTCACGTTGGTCAGCACGCAAAGCTGGGCACAGTGCGCAGTTTGACTAGGCTAATGATATTGCCTGGGGTTGTTCGGCATGCAAAATGACTTGTAGATCAATGACGGTCAACACAGTTACATGCAGTTGGACACTGAAGGAGAGGACGTATCAGTTGTCACAAAATATGAGAGGTATTTTCTGAAGGTAGAAAGAATATAATATGAGCAAAAGATCTTAGTGGTCCGCGGACCGACGCACTTGTATCTTAAACATTTGAATCGGGGACTGATGTGTTTCGGTGAATCGTTACATCCCTAACACACACACACACACACACACACACACACACACACACACACACATAAACAAACACACAACCACACAGTACAGCAGGTATATATCTCACCATGGGGAAGAGTCCGTAGGGCAGGTGTCGTCTCATGCCTGCAGACGGAGTGTTCTTACTGCGCAGCTCCTTGATCTCTTCCTGAGACTCATGTAGCATCCCCACACACTCTACATTACGGTCCGCTAGCTCGTTCAGCTAAACAACACAACATAGTTAACCCATAAGCCGGGGGAGGGGGGTTCCCCTAAGCTATATGGAGCTTTATGGAATTGTTTTAAGGTCATACCAAGGATCATTTTGCTATTTGATTTTAGAATTTTAAGACACCTTGAAGTATCCCCCCCAAAAAAAATATATGATTTGATGAACAATTATTTTTGGCTTTACTGCTATTAGCACATACAAAAGCATTGAATAACAGATTCACTAAATGTGCAAAGCTGTCATCAACATTTACATTTACGTCATTTAGCAGACGCTCTTATCCAGAGCGACTTACAAATTGGTGCATTCACCTTATAGCCAGTGGGACAACCACTTCACAATGTTTTTTTTTTTTTTTTTTTTGGGGGGGGGGGGGGTAAGGGGGGGGTAGAAGGATTACTTTATCCTATCCCAGGTATTCCTTAAAGAGGTCAAGGCAAAGGGTGGCTACTTTGAAGAATCTCAAATATAAAATACTACATGATTCCATATGTGTTATTTCATAGTTTTGATGTCTTCACTATTATTGTACATTATAGAATATTGTAAAAATAAAGAAAAACCCTTGAATGAGTAGGTGTGTCCAAATGTTTGACTGGTACTGTAGTTAACCCTCTGCTAGCTGGTTCAGCTACACAACACAACATAGTTAACCCTCTGCTAGCTAGTTCAGCAACACAACACAGTTAACCCTCTGTTAGCTAGTTCAGCAACACAACACAGTTAACACTCTGCTAGCTAGTTCAGCAACACAACACAGTTAACCCTCTGCTAGCTGGTTCAGCAACACAACACAGTTAACCCTCTGTTAGCTAGTTCAGCAACACAACACAGTTAACCCTCTGCTAGCTAGTTCAGCAACACAACACAGTTAACCCCCTGCTAGCTAGTTCAGCAACACAACACAGTTAACCCTCTGCTAGCTGGTTCAGCAACACAACATAGTTAACCCTATGCTAGCTAGTTCAGCTACACAACACAACATAGTTAACCCTCTGCTAGCTAGTTCAGCAACACAACACAACATAGTTAACCCTCTGCTAGCTGGTTCAGCTATACAACACAACATAGTTAACCCTCTGCTAGCTGGTTCAGCTACACAACAACACAACATAGTTAACCCTCTGCTAGCTGGTTCAGCTATACAACAACACAAAATAGTTAACCCACTGCTAGCTAGTTCAGCTACACAACACAACATAGTTAAATACCTATACTCCATTACCCTATTCCACACACACTCATTCATCAGTAATAAACACCTAACCTTAACTTTACTTAAACCTTGATGCAGCTAATAACCTTGGACACAAATTCACTGCTTGTGTCAACATGACAAAACAAACCCAAGATAATATTTAAAATACTACAACTCAGGGCCATATCATACTGCTTATCAGCTGCAGTTCTGCTCTGACATATAGCTGTGGTGCAAATGATGTTGGAGAGTTATGAAATGTTGTACCGGATAAGGGCACACCTTAAGGCACTTCTATGGAGTCAGAGTTCAATGAAGTGTTCATTGCTAGACAACTCACCTCTGCAGTGAGTGATCTCTGGGCATCTTTAGAGGCCTGTAGGTGAATCCTCAGTTCCTCTTTCTCCAGGGCCAACTGGAGACACACACATACTTCATTAGTACTGTTACTCTACAATTAGTACTACAACATCAATTACAAACTCCTCTCCCCTTCCCCCCCTCACCTCTTTGACGCGGTGTTGGAGCTCTACTATCTGGGAGAGGAGCTGGGTAATCTCCTCCTGGTGTCTCATCACCTCCTCATTCTTATGGGACAGCTCCTCTGTCAGGTTCACCATCTGACTGTTGGACTCGCCTGAACACACCCACACAGCTCTTTAATCCTTAGAGATCAATAACCTAATTAATTGTTAATTGACCTGATTCATGCCTTTTGTGTGTGTGTGTGTGTGTGTGTGTGTGTGTGTGTGTGTGTGTGTGTGTGTGTGTGTGTGTGTGTGTGTGTGTGTGTGTGTGTGTGTGTGTGTGTGTGTGAGACTCACGCAGCTCCTTGACACAGTCGCTGACCAGCTGATGTTCTTTCTCCTCGTAGGTGATGGTCTCCTTCTTCAGATGACAGGCCTGGTCGGACCACAGGGTTTACAGTGAGGAGTTAGGAACTATCAGATGACAGGCCTGGTCGGACCACAGGGTTTACAGTGAGGTGTTAGGAACTATCAGATGACAGGCCTGGTCGGACCACAGGGTTTACAGTGAGGTGTTAGGAACTATCAGATGACAGGCCTGGTCGGACCACAGGGTTTACAGTGAGGTGTTAGGAACTATCAGATGACAGGCCTGGTCGGGACCCACAGGTTTTACAGTGAGGGTGTTAGGACTATTCAGATGACAGGCCCTGGTCGACCACGGGTTTACAGTGAGGTGTTAGGAACTATCAGATGACAGGCCTGGTCGGACCACAGGGTTTACAGTGAGGTGTTAGGAACTATCAGATGACAGGCCTGGTCGGACCAGAGGGACACTATGAAGGGCTTACCTCGTAGCACATTAAAAAGGCTGGACCACAGAAAGTGCACGGTCGAGGTAGAATTGGCACTGACCACAGATCTAGGATCAGATCACCCTACCGTTGATCCTAACCTTAACCCTATGGGCCCTAGTCAAAAGTAGTGCACTATATAGGGAATAGGGTGCCATTTCAGCTATACCTCAGAGCGTAGGGCCAGATTCTCCTCTTCCAGATCAGACATTTTCCCCTGCAGGGCCTCCAGCTGGCTGAGGGCCACAGCGGGCGCTAGGGGTTGGCGGGGGTGCAGCGGCGTTGAGCAGCTGGAATCCGTCTCACTCTCCTCCGAAGCGCTGGCCACCATCCGAAGCAACTCATCCTTCTTCCCCAGCTCATGTTGTAGCTGGTGCACCTAGGACAAGGGGTCAGAGGGGGTGTGGTGTGTAAATGGTACACCTGGGAGAGTGGGTCAGAGGGGGTGTGGTGTGTAACTGGTACACCTGGGAGAGTGGGTCAGAGGGGGTGTGGTGTGTAACTGGTACACCTGGGAGAGTGGGTCAGAGGGGGTGTGGTGTGTAACTGGTACACCTGGGAGAGTGGGTCAGAGGGGGTGTGAGTGTGTGTTTTTACAGTAGTGTGTGTTTACAGTAGTGTGTGTGTGTTTACAGTAGTGTGTGTGTGTTTACAGTACTGTGTGTTACCTGGTCCAGGGTCTGTGCTAGCTGTTCCTCCACAGACTCATTACGTTCCTGGAGCAGGTGGTTCCTCTGAAGCAGAGACTGACCAATCCGAGCGGCCAGCTCCAAGTCCCGGTCCCGCTGCAACCAATGAGACACGCAACAGTTAGTCCTCCAATCACGCGTCCACAATCATCAATGACAACCAATCACTGCCATGTGTCAAAGACAGTGCACCAATGAGAGCCCACCTCAGCCAGTAGATGTGTGACAACCTCAATGTCATTGTAGGTCTTGGTCATCTGCCCCACCCTATCAGCACTGAGGACTGGAGAGAGAAAACGAGAGAGAGAGAGAGAGAGAGAACAAAAGAGAGAGCGAGAGAGAACGAGGGAGAATGGAATTTTAGCAGGGGCACAAGAAAACACTCCAGCATACATACACACACGTATACTGTACACACACACACACCACAATAAGCAACACGTTCATGCACAAACACAGACTATCTATACTAATGCATGCGCCTGCATGCAAGCACACCAACTTTCCTATGAAACAGCCTAAGACACTACAAGCTATGCCTCCACACACTCCTCGATGCCACTACATGCCCGCTAGTGGCAGTAGACTTAGTTTGTGAGTGTCTGCTGTCCTACGCTATAGTGAGAGAGGGACTCCAGAGCTCCAGGGGGCCACACAGCCTGGTCTAATCCAGATTGGAGAGCACCGCCTAGGCCTACTGGAGGACTGAAGCCCCCCCTCACACTCTGGAGCAACGGAGGGATCCGCGGAGAAAGATGCAGAGGGAGAGAAAGCAAGAGGGAAGCACTTTACCTCGGGAGCCAGGGTGAGAGTAGGAAGAGGGATCCAGGGGAAGATAAGCTGGAGGAAGAGAAAGAGATAACGGAGGAGAGGGAGGGGAACGAGGGAATAACAAAGAGAGAGAGAGAGAGAGATGTTAGATGGCAAGGAAGAGGGGAACCAGCTGAGCAGAGAGAAGAACCTAGGAGATAAATACCAAAAAATCAAGAGAGCAATAGAGAGATAGAGGGAGAAGAAACAATGATATAGTGAGAGAGAGAGAAAGAGAGACGTAAATAAGAAGTGAGAGCGAGAGAGTGAGAGAGAACTGGAAAGAATAAGCGAGACTGAAAGAGAGAGAGAGTAAGAGCGAGATTGATATAGAGAGACTGAAATAGAGAACGAGCGAGTGAGATAGACTGAAAGAGAGATAGAGTGAGAGAGAGAGAGAGTGAGACTACTGAAAAGAGAGAGATAAGTGATACGAGAGAGAGAGGATTGAAAATACTTAAAAGATAGATATGACTGAAAGAGAAGAGAGACTGAAATAATAGAGACGAAAGATAAGATCGTGGAGAGAGAGATGAGAAGAACTGAAGAAGATATAGAGAGACTGAAATAGAGAGTGGAGAAGTAGTACTGAAAGATGAGTATGAGATAGAGAGACTGAAAGAATAGAGAGACTGATAGAGAGCGAATTAGAGAGAGAGACTGAAGAGAGAGACAGAGAGAGTGGATATACTTAAAGAAGAGACAGCGAGAACTGAAGAGAGAGACAGAGAGACTGAAGAGAGACAGGAGAAAGAAAGAAAGAATAAATACAGAAAGAGAGAGAAAAAGTAAAAAAAAAATCATCAAGCACTAAATATACTCTGGAGAGAAACAATTATATATTTAGATGATAGATATCAGATAGAGAGTGAGAGAGACTGGCAAATCGATAGAGTGCATATATACTTGAAACGATAGAGTAGTGATATGATACTAACTTAAAGATAGAGACAGAGAGTTGAGATACAGATAGACTGAAAGAAAGACAGGAAAGAAAGAACGAATAAGAAAGCAAGAAGCAAGAAAGAGAAAGAAAGAAAGAAATAATGAGAGAAATAGATATAATAGATCAAAAACAAAAGATCACGGATAGCATTCGAGAGATAGAGGATCTAAACAATTATTATATTTGAGAGAAAGATATTTAGCGTAGATAGATATAGACTGAAGAGAAGAGAGAGTGATCCGAGAGAGAGTGGAGAGACTGAAAGAATATCTAGAGAGTTAGACTTCTAAAGAGAGAGACATAAACAAAAAGAGAGCGTATAAAAAAGAAAGACAGAAAGAGAGATATAAAAGATATAATAGATATACAGAACTTAAAGAGAGATAGAGACAAAGTAAAGATAGAGATAAAAGATACATAAAGATATGGAATAGAGTACATAAAGAGATGCTATATAGAACATAAAGATAGAATCATAAGCATAGAGTGTACTATATATTTACGAAGGTAGAGATAGGGTAGATGAGAAAGGTATATAGAGACAACATAAAGGTAGAGATTTATTCGAACTTATAGATCTATATGACACAATGTATAGATATATCCATAACTGGATAGAGAGAAGCGAACAGAAATGGAAGATCGAGAGACAGAAATTAGGAGAAATTTAGATGAATAGAATGTAGATAGATATATACAGAAAGGTAGATATATATTAACAGAAATTTGTTATATACTACATAAAGGGATTATATATATAACATAACGTTATATAGAGATATACAACAAGGTGATAGACACATAAAGTTGGAGAGAATATCTACTAAATTTAAAATAATAGAGATTAGAGAAATATATACCATAAAGTGATAGACACAGAAAGCTAGAGATAGAGCGAGACAGAAATTGAGATTATAGATATATACATAAAGTTGAATCATATGTATACAGAATGTGAATAGATATATACATAAATGTATAGATATAGGTCAAAAGTGGATTTATCGTATACAGGATGTAGATAGAGATATCCATAAATTTATGATATATATACCTAAATGGACTATAGATATATATATACATGATCTATCCAATAAAATATATATACCTATATAAAGAGAAATGGAAGAAAGAGACAGAAATTGTTAGATAGAGACACAATAGAGAGAGAGAAAAGAGACTACCATAACAGAAAGGGGAAGAGAAAAGAAAAGAAAAACAAAATATCAATATAGCATAATAGATAGATATAGTGTCAGAGCAACAATATATATTTAGATAGTTGATAGATACTTAATAGAGATACATCAAGAAAATAGAGAGAGATACAGAGATATAACATAAGAATATACTAAATAAAGACATCTTATATATACAGAAATATAGATATAAACATAAATATATATATATACATAAATTTTTTTGAAAAAATATATATATACAGCTAAAGATCGATATATACAGAATATAGAGAGAGAGAATATATATATAAATTGCTAAATATTCCAAAAGATATATAACATAAATATATAGCATTAGTCATATATTTACAAATTTATTATATAGTAACATAAAGTTTATATATATTTAGAGATAGAGACAATAATTTTAATATATCCAAAATTTCAGAGAGACAGAATGTTAGAGACTATATACACAAAAGTGGAATATAGATACATAAAGAGAGATATATACTCATAAAAGATAGAGTATACAGAAAGATGAATCATCAGAAATATATACCAGAAATATGAGAGAGAGACAAAAGAGAGATATGAACGTAAGATGAACAGAATGAGAGAAGCAATAAACATAAAGGGAAATAAGAGAGTACACATGTTGAGAGATGTAGATAGATATTTTGACAAAGGTGTGAGATATGGGAGAGTGATAGATATACAAAGGAGAGAGATAGACAGAATAAGATGAGAGAGAGAGACATTAAATATATATAGTTTCCATAAAATTTATAGAGATACATATATAGAAAAGCAGTATATAGATAGTAGATAGAAATATATATGATATAGTAGAGCGAGTAAATAGATAACCGAAATAAGATATAGAGACATAGAACATAACTATATATATACATAAAATTGATATATATACATAAAGATTTAAGGGGTAAATATATATAGAACCAAAGTTTATAGCTATATACAAGATAAATTTATATATATAAATTTAATAGATTATATTAAATGTATATAAGAGACAAAGAGCGAGAGAAGACAAAAGAGAGAGAGCGAGTTCAGAAAAAGAGGGAGAAAAAATGGCGAGAGAGACAGAGAAGAGAGAAAGAGAGAGAAGGACAGAAAGGGCGAGAGAGAGAAAAGGGAGAGAGAGAGAAAGAGAGACAGAACGAGAAAGAGAGAGAGAAGAGACGAAACGAGAACGAGGAGAGAGAGAAGCCGAGAAGAAGAAAGACAGAACGAGAAGCAGAGAGAGAGACAGAACGAGAGAGACAGAAAGAGAGCGAGAGAGAAAGACAGAAAGAAAGAGAGAGAGAGACAGAGAGACTGAAAGAGAGAGCGAGAGAGAAAGACAGAAAGAAAGAGAGAGACCAGAATACAATACAGAAAGAGAGAGAGACAAGAGAGAGAGAGAGAAACCAGAGAAAGAAGCAGAGAGGGACATAGAGAGGGACAAAGGGGGAGAGAGGGAGACAGAAAGAGAAGAGCCGAAAGGAGAGAAGAAGAAAGGGGAAAGAGAGACAGAAAGGGAGAGACAGAAAGGGAGAGACAGAAAGGGAGAGAGAGAGACAGACAGACAGAAAAGGGGAGAGAGAGAGAGACAGAAAGAGAGAGAGAGACAAAAAGAGAGAGAGAGACAGACAGAAAGAGAGAGACAAAAAGAGAGAGACAGACAGAAAGAGAGAGAGAAACAGAAAGAGAGAGTCAAAGCAAGAGTGACATAAGGTGTATCAAAGGGAGAGATATGGAGAAAGAAGGGAGCGAGAGACCGAAAGGAGAGAGAGAGAAGAAAGGGATGAGAAGAGGATAAGCAGAAAGGGAGAGAGATAGTGGACAGAGAACAAACGGGGAAAGAGGAGAAAGCTGAGAGAGAGATACATAAATGTAGGATAGAGAACAGGAGATATAAGAGACAGACGACAGACAGACAGAGAGAGAGAGACAGAGAGCGAGAGAGACAGAGGGAGAGAGAGACAGAGAGAGAGAGAGAGAGACAAAGGGAGGGAGAGAGAGAGAGAGACAGAAAGAGAGAGAGAGAGAGAGAGAGAGAGAGAGACAGACAGACAGACAGACAGACAGACAGAAAGAGAGAGAGAGAGAGAGACAGAGACAGAGACAGAGACAGAGACAGAGACAGAGACAGAGACAGAGAAAGAGACAGAGAGAGAGAGAGAGACAGAGAGAGAGAGAGAGAGAGAGAGAGAAAGAGAAAGAGAGAGCAGAGGCAGGAGATATCATGTGTCTACTTCAGATAGCTAGGGTTAAGGGGATGAGGATGAGTGTTTGTTTGGGTTCAGCACCTGACTCAGGACTGCAACACAACCCCAGCAGCGCTGCCAGCTGGCCCTGGGTAGAGAGATACCAACCTATTTGATTTATTATGGTCAACCTTGACCCCTGCCCTCCAACCCCAGCCCAACCCTTTACACTAGGTCAACATGGTAACCATCAAATAAAACATCATTTTATGTAATACTATGTATGCATCGTGTATATTGCAATTCAGCTTGTAATTGAAGGGACAATACATTTGCAATGTCATGTCTTGTCAGTGTCATTGTACCTAGCCTAACGTCTCTGGTTGGGTGGACAGATGACGGGCAGACCAGCAGCAACAGAACACAGCAGACTAGGAGACAGAAGCTACTGCACTGCTCCATTGGCTTCAACTGCTGTTTACTGAAGCTGCTTTACCAAGTCACTTTACTACTTGTATGAAAGAGTCTCCATTTTGATAAATCAGATACTTTATATACATACACTACCGTTCAAAAGTTTGGGGTCACTTAAGAATGTCCATGTTTTCGAAAGAAAAGCAAATTTTTTGTCCATTAAAATAACATCAACTTGTTCGGAAATACAGTGTAGACGTTGTAAATGGCTATTGT